CTGTCATAAACAACAACAAAAAGTCATGTTATGCACCCCACGTTGATGGTAGTATGCTTCAAATTTGTAGTTCAACACAACAGGTATAAGGAAAACGACATGATCCAATGTGGAATGGTGTTTTGTGAAGTTTAAAGTTGATAATTGTATTGAATATTTTGACATTATTTCATCTCTGTTCTTCACAAAAGATTTAGTTTCCTGAAACTAAGTGTAAAAACGTTATAGAAATAGCTGTGAATGATGGAAAACATATCGAAGAAGGGCGCGGTAATGTTAGTGACCTGGATTGATGTCGTTTTTAACCACATTTTATGCACAATATCCACAAAAAAGCTTTTCTGGCCTTTCGTGTTACCAAGACACACCCTTGCCTCTTCCAACACCAAATGATCATAATGCAGCTTAACAGGATTAATGTTTTGATGACGAGGATAAAGGACAAAGTGTACTGCCAAGAACTAGACAGATTATATGAAGTTATGGTTTGTTAAAAATTGATAACATATAATGCACACACGAGGCATACTGATATTTACCTATTCTGTTGTACAAACCGTCACAATGAAATACAATAATAAAATGACTTTAACCATCATCATACGAGTCGATATACATTATCAGATTTATTGACACATACATAAATGTTTTCAACTGAAAAATACATTCTGGTTAAGATATAGGTTCGCATACGTTAGTATCTGCCATCTTTTGATGTGGTAAGGATATATCTTATACTAAGCAATCTACCGCAACTATTATTATATTTGTACAAATAAGATATTCTCACTCAAATTTCATGCGGATCATTTTAGGCCTTTCTTAACAGCTATAATTTTGTAAAAATATATATAATTTATTAGAATTCTTGACATCGTTATAACTATCGTCTATAAATTGTTCTGGTATACATGTTGAATATTTTACATTAAATGATATGCTCGTTTAAAGCGAATACAGGGTTCTTATAAAGTTTCTTGTCCTGTTGAACATCAATAAAATTAATACTATTCGTCACATGGTAATAATTATTAGTGGATATACCAATGAGACTATGTGAACATGAATCCATGATCACCAGAAAGGATTGCCAGAGAGAGCTACATCTAATCATTCACATCAACAATGGCCTGCATCTACGGAATGACGTGGTAGACAGTTGAACGAATCTGTCCAATATTCAACATGGCTATTTGATATCTGTCAAGATCTTCAAATTAGCAGTCGCCCCAAAACACACAACTGACTTAAGACAAATCTTATTGTAACAGGTCAACAATTAAGTAACAGTAATAGCAAGTGGAAAAGCTAGAACCTTATTTTTTGGATCCTGGAGAAAATGTGTATCATTGACTTCTGAGTTATTAAGCTTCACACGAAAATGAGGGAGGGAAACAATTCTTTGATAGAAAACAATATCTTTATGAAGCTTTTTTCCATTAATTGTTAAGCATAAAATACAGCAATATATTGCGATACAATAAAGATGTTAAGGATGAAATATTTTAAATAGATATTTAATAAAACGTTTAGGTGTGAAAATTAATCACAACTTAACTTTTACAGTGAAAAAATTAGAAATTCTTCCTTTGTTAAACAGACCTATTATTATTGAGCAATAGTCCTCCCCCACCTGTGGATCACCGATACATTTAGGGATTTACAACGCAAAACTCCAGGGTTCGATTCCCCGCGATGGAAAGGGTGCAGATACCCCATTTTGTAGCTTTGCACTAAGAAAACAAAATCTTATGTAATGTTACAGCGCCTGTCCGATCGCATTTCTGCGCTACTGGAATTTCTGTAATTTCTTTATATTACTGAATATTGATAAAAAATATAATTTTGCATAAAATTGAAAACTAAATTTACTACAAAACATATGAAAAAACTAATAGCATTCCATTTTAAAATGACTCGTGTTCAAGCTTCTAAGGTAAAGCTATCCTTCAGGCGCGTCTAGGAGTGTAATGGTAAGAAAACGTTATATTTAATTTGTTGATGTCAGTTTAATATTACAAATTTCATTTTACATCAGTCTGCATATTTAACACACTTCAAACCTTCTTCACAGATATGATGCTATTGTAATAATTTTTAAACACTAGCGTAACCTTTTTAAATATTTTATTGTTTTACGTTTCAAGAAAACTTAAGATGTGTGTGTATAATCTGGCCATCTAAAAACTGCTTACAGTCATTAATACAAAGCTGGAGATCATTATAGAGAGTTTGTTGTTCTTGTTCTTGTTTTTGTATATTTGTTTTGCATCTCCGCCTGAAGAACGGAAAGTTCAATTTTTTTAAAGCTTTGCAAGAACATAATTGCTTATTTGCAAGTTTATAGATTTGACAAGTATTTTTAAACATTATATCTGATGAGCACTTATGATACTTTGAATACTTCTTTTCACATTTTTCTAGAAACTTTCAGGCCAGTGTTGTCAAACCATTTTTCACTAGAAACAAAAATAAAAAATAATAATAAAAGTGAATCGCAAAATCAAGAATGGTCCATTTAGTGAGGTAAACCTAACTACAGAGGTAGTTTCTCACACAATCCTAACAGCATTATCACAAATCTGTTGGATTAATAACTAAACGACAATGAAAAGAGAGTCCTAAGTAAAGGTTTATCTTTTGTTTTTTCTACCTCCTAAACTAAACTTAGCCAATTTCATGGTACCTTTGAAGTCTCTTCTTCATAAATTAAAAGGAGAACCTGTATGTGCTAAGTGTGACCTGACTTTTATAGAGGCTTCAACAATGAGTAAAAATAAATAAAGACAAACAAAACTGAAAGTAATACACAATTAATTCAATCAAAATTGTTAAAATCACATCAAATATAATAAAATATTTACATTAACAGAAGTTTAATTTCTTACTAATATTCTATTCAATATTGAAGCTGAAAGAAACGTATATACAACACTAATGAAAAGTTTAATTCCAAATAGTGTGATTAACTCTGTTAATATAATCAACTTTATTACGTATGACTACTTTATTTCCTTTATTAGGTTTAATGAATACAATATAATTTAAGGAACGCAACCGTTGGAGAGACTCCATTTCATAAATGGTAAGTAACGTTGACTTTTACAGTGGATGTATTTGTGAAACGTGTCAAGTGCAAGATTACTAACATGTCAGAGACTCGGAACCAGGGCTGCTGAGGGTTCTGTAGCACCACCACTTTTACATATTTGACTTATATAGCAACTGCAAATTATGTTATAGTAAAATCTGCATGTCTAGCCAAGCACCTCCACTTTGCAACTTCTTCTCACATCACTTTATGTGTCCGAATATTATCGTTCAATAAACTTTTATTTTGTATGTTTGTGTGTAATTATCATGGCATCGTACATGTAGTCAAAGAAGGTGGTTAACAGAAATTACAATTTTGGTAGCTCTATTCGTTGTTAAACATTCAACTTTAAGGTTTGGATCTAGAAAAGTCCTGGGATAAAGAGTTGTTGCAATTCAAAAGTTGCTATATCCAACTTCTATAATTATTCCATAACTATAAAACAACGTACTTTTATTCAGGTATGTTTTTATTTTCCAATTTTTTGTGTTGTTAGTCAACATTTTCATGAACAAGATGTGATAAGTCATAAACTTGTACCAATCCTTTATCTTAAAGAAAGGTTTATTGTAACAACGGTCATTTTTAATTCATATACTGGCCTGACCCAGTTTCTGTATCATCAGTTCTCATGAAGAATAGATGGTACTCTAGTTAAATTTGTATACATGTTGGTATGGTATGAGCTTAAGGTTTATTTCTCTTAAATATGTATGATAGGATTTATTGTTAAAGTAGATAGTCTAGAGATGTGGGTAGAGGTGTCGCTAAGTTTTGGCACATATGGCTCGTGCCCCGAATCCCCATTGTGTGCCTTGAGATAGAAAACTATGATCGATATCATACTGAAACGCCGAAAACTTCCGCGCCTAAGTATCTAGCGATGCCTCTGGATGTGAGATATAACACCAAGAGGTTTCAGTTTGACTTAACAGTGCGATATGTCATTCTTCTTGAGTAGGAATATCTACTTCAGCAGTCATTTTCAAGATGACCTGAAAATAAGAATTTATTTTCTTGTTTGACACTTGTGTCCATGTCTTTTTTCATTTAATGTCCGAATCTGTTGCTTATTGCAGATTACTCATAACTTGCCTATCAGAAAGCAGTGTACCCTGAAGTTGTTGTTCTTTGAAGTTAAGCACAAAGCTACACAATAGGCTATCTATGCTCTGCCCACTATGGGTATCAAAACCCGGTTTCTAGCATTGTAAGTCCACAGACATACCGCTGTGCCACTGGGGAGCTTGTACCCTGAAAAACACAGATTAAATTTTTTTTCTAAATTTTAAATGTTGTTGTAGTATAAAAAGACAACGTAACAAAAAATAATAACAGAGCTTGTATCATCTACCAGTGTTAGAGTAGATGAAATATGCGAATGTTAACCAAGTAGTATAATATAATTTATGTGTATGGTATCTGAAAATCTCATTATTCCGAATACTTTAGCATGAGTACTAATAACAATAAATGCTAAGCAAAATATTTTGTATATTATTTGAATTGCACGATCACATGAGTCATTTAATTTCGTAATTGATGATAAAAATTTATCGTTATTGCTTTTGTAAAATTTTTAATTAAAATAAAACTAAAGATTTTGAATTTGTTTATGATAATATAGGTACACTAGCATTACAAAGTTTAAACTATAAACTAAATAACGTTTACAATAATTTATTGATGCGGCATAGCTTATGGATAAATATCAAATTAGTTTTGTAACATAAAAAAGAGGAAGAAAACTTTACATGATCATTAGTTGATTTTGTTTTGTTAAAATAATTACAGTCTCTTTGAAATTGTGTACCCAAAATTAATTCATATTAAATTTTAAACCCACTATTTTCTATTATAAATTACATTTTTCAAAACAAAAGTTTTGTCAGGATTTAAGCCTTCCGTCGAGAGTACGTGCGCAGTGGCGAGATACATATTTGAATAGGTAGTAAATTTGCCGGTAAGGTGAGCACTCAATTTAATTGTAATTATTTTTATGGTAAAGTATTAATTTTAGCATATTTGTAGCTTGTATATTTAACAATAATTTATTAGCATAAAAAACTAATGTTGCTGATACTTGTTCATGTTGAACTTGAATAACTTAGAGTTAGAGCGTCACTTAGCCATGCGTCTTGAAAGTTGAAATTTGAAATAAAACTCAGGTTAGGCCTAATGATTGACGCAGTTAATCTCAATGAAAGAGGAAATACCGCTTGTAGTAGTAGTTGCAGCAGTGTTTTGTAATATTATACTGATACTAACGACAATAACGTTGAACTTTACAAGTGTATTAAATTTGAAATAATCATAATGTCCTGATGAAACGAACCTATGAATGAAAACAAAACTCAAAAGGGTGATTCAGTATCAACGTGTCCAACATTAAATTTAAAAGCCTCCCATAATTATTGCATAGTATTCTTCATAGTCATAATCTCATTACACATAATATATATATATAAACTTATATAAGAACTAACTTGTTCTAAGTAAGATTAAGGGTACTTCAGTAAGACCCAAAACTAGGCATGGACATAATTTTTATGCTAAAACTTAGTTAAAAGTAAAAGTACGATGAATTACATAGGCTGTGATAGGGATTGTAATTTGTATAAAGTCAAATATTGAAGTAGTGAAGGAGAGAGGTTTATTGAATCAAGTGGTTACTGAGAGAGATAACTAAAGAGGATGCAATTTTAGATTTATTGTAAACTGCTAATGAGAATGTAGTTTGAAGAGTTGAAGTGTGGTAACACTTACGAAAAAGCAGTTGTTGCATAATTAGGTTTGATGTTTTTGTCATATGTTGTAATAAAAAGAAATGAAGTTTCAACTCCTGATTAACAGAGAGCCAATTCTGCGGTCACAACACTCATTAGTGAATTAGAATAATGAGTTAAAAAGTGATATGGAACATACTTGAGAAAATTTTAAAAATAAGTTGCTTTTAATTCAAGGTGGATATGTTCCTAAAAAGAATAGAATAGCAGGGAAGATAAAACCTATTTGGATTACTGAATACATAAAGGAGAAAGTCATGGATAAGGTCACAAGTAGGGTTGTATTTGAAGGTTCATTTGTTATCCATGAATTCAAAGAAAGCTATAAACATTCAAGGGTTCATCATTCAGTGTTAAGTTTTTTCTTTATCTTGTTAACAGGAACCATTTGACAATGTTTTAATAGTAATTATACATTAAGTTCACCCACATAGAAAATTCTGTCTTTTAATTTGTATAATGCTCATTACTTAAAAAAAAAGCAAACACCAAAACATTATACATAGCAGCTCCTTCCATGCATTGAGGTAAACATTAAAGTGAAGCAGAGGGTGGGTCTAAATATAAAAACTGCATTGCTTCAGTAAAATTTACTGAATGCCTACTGATCCAAATTATGATAACCCAACTTATTACAACTAAAGGTTATTTGCTAAATATTTGTCCAACTAATTAGTTGATGAAAGTCATTCTGTGGTACATCAATATTCTCAGTACAGCTAGAAATACCTTCTCAATGTAATGCAAGCTCTTAATCCAAAATTTGCTTAATCAAGTTGTTATTCATTTTCAAAATTGAAATTCAAATACATAAACCTATGAAGCCAATTCTTAGGTTTATTACAAATATATCTTTCAAAACTGCAATTTGAAATATGGAATCAAGCCCTTCCAATGGCCATAAATTTAACATTTGTGCAAAATGTGTGTTTTAGGAGAAGTCATATATAGATATTTGAATAATTTCCCATCTGAACTAATTTAAAACAGTGAGAAATGCTTTCTTTTTATTTGCTCAATAACCATTATAATGCACCTGAAATACATTTACAACTGTGTTTCAATCTTTCAAAAGCATGTACTGTTTGTTTTGATTACAAATCCAACCTACACATGTAATGGTGACATCATTAATAATTTCATGTTTTCCATATTACTATATCTATACCTAGAGCTCAGTTAGTTTAAATTTCAGTTAATTGTTTATATATATATATTTATAATAATGGGCAAATATTATTTAAAAGAAGAAGAATCCTGTTGTTAGAAATACAAGCTATCTGAGAGTAATTATTAGGATTAGTTTAAAAAACATAACTCTAACTCTAGAGCTCCTATATGTTATATTATTATGTTTAACATTTTCCAAGTGACATATATTATTGGTGTAGCTGTACAATATTTTTGATAGAGCTTTTAAGTGTCTAGCTCTACATTATTTTCAAGTCCAAATCCAACAACACCATATTACATAAAAAGTGTTGCCTTCTGAGTTAATGATTTTTTTGTCTTGTAGTAGACTTAGTGTGATACCTTGGTCTGGTGCATCCTTTTGAGAAATAAAATTCTCTCTCTATATATATTATAACAGATTTATCTTTGAGCATTTAGTCAGGCTACATATACTTAATGCTTTACACTGCATTGATGTGTAGGATTGTTCTGGGAATATCAAAATTGGAAATGTAACTTGTTTATATATCTTATATTTCAGTTATAAGGGATTACAAAAGTGATTCTAAATTAAAAGTAATATAATTATAAAAAAAAATACAAGATATAGAAGAATTTGAGTGCTAAACTTTATCTTCATTTTACCTCACAGCAACTGATATGTTTTTTTTTTTCTGTTCAAGATGGAAATCAATGATGGAAACTTAACTACCCTGGCTGGGTATCTTCAACAGACATTGTCCTCGGATGTGGATGTAAGGAAACCAGGTAAGTACTAAATATTGAATATTTTACAAGAATGTTTGATTGCTAGGTTATTTACTTGCAAACTATTTGAACAAAATATTGTAATCTTTGTCATTTAGGGATCTTAGAGGAACATAGCTATATAAAATGGAAATCAATATCATATACCTAAATGATTGCAGGACTGGGAGTTGCATCATATCTCATATTGTTATCGTCACTAATGTACATGTGCAGTGTTGGACTTACTAAGTGTTACAAAATCATTAATCTTTGTAACAAATAACATTTATTATAAATGAATCTTGTAATTTCATGAGCTCCTGGAATCCCATCAGTAGTATTTTTTATTTGATCTTATTTTGTCACTTGAAACCTTTAAATAGGTTTGGGTAATATTTGTTCTCTCATTACAGACAGGTTAAAGTGTACGTGTCACAAGCGTTTACAGAATTACATTCAAAATTTATTTAAACTACTTTGTATCAATGTATATGATTACATTTGTCATCAAAACCTAATAAATCAAATCTTAATATTATATAAGTTTTAAGTTCTTAATATTATAAGGAAATATTTCCAAAAATCTTCAATCACCTCTAGTGTGAGAATTGTGACATTTGTTATCCAGGTCTTCCCTCTTCTCTAATTTATTTACCACTCTCTCTGAAGAATGGAATTTAATGTAAATAACTGTATCATTTATAACCAATAGGAAGATGAAGTTGTAATCTATCCAATGATGTATTATGTTCTTTTATGTACAATTGTATATTTTGTCTTTAGTTTGAAAGTTTCTCTTGCGGTGTTCAGATCGAAAAGCTTAGGGAAATATTTTAAGGCCCTTTTTATCCACACTTAGAAAGCCAGTGAAGTTATAATAGTTATAGGACATTGTTTGCTTTGTGCACATTATTATTTAAATAATAAATAAATATTAAATAAATAAAAATTTAGTATACTGGTATCATCAATATAAGGAATAGGCTTAAATTTTGTAAGGTACTGGCAGCAAAAACAAGGTCAAATGTAAGTACTATATTTCTTGTTTTTTATGTATATTTTTTGTTGTAAAAGTAACTAAAATGTAAAAATTAGATAGAAGCTTATTAGGTTAGATTAAGTAAGATAATGAAAAATTTAATAGTAATTATTCATGATGTATGTTCATAAGAATAGTGTGTGTGTGTGTTACATCATTCATTACACTAACTTGAGCTAGACATTCACCAAGTGATTTCCAACTTCTATGGCAGGATAGTTAGAGATGGTTCAGAATGCAATAAAACAATAAAATTAGGTAGAAACAAGATGTAAACTGTTATGAGCCTTAAGCTATTTAGGATAAATAAGTATAGTTTCCTGTTACAATTTGTAGTCATTCTAGAAAGAAAAAAAGGGTTATTTAGATTTTTTTATTCTGATTATAAGATTGAACAAATCAACTGAGTCCATGTAGAGTTATGGTAGAGAAAATAATGAGTAAAATATAAAGCTTTGTTGAAAAAAGTTTGGTATTTATATAGAATGGTTTAGAGGTTAAACAAATGAAATTAGAAAATTTTCAGTTGAAGAAAAGTATTATTAATCTTGACATAAATCACTATACTCAAAGCAGTCAGCATTCTGACTCCATATATTCATGGACAAATCTAGTAAAAATATTTCATTAAAGAATCTGGTTTTCTCTGTATAAAAGACTGAAAGCTTGTCAAATATCATGATGAAATTTGCACCATATTAAACATTATAATATGGGTACTCTGATGTTTTGAGGCTACGTGGTCAGTGTAATACACCGAACCCATATGTAAAGAGTTAACTGAAATTTGTTAATCCATTAGCTCTCTATGGAATAATTTTTTTTAGTTGTTGTTAATAGAATTATTTTTGAATATGTTTTATTTTTGGTTCTTAACATTTTAGCTGAAAAATTTCTTCAGTCTGTTGAAGTAAACAAAAACTATCCCATTCTGTTGCTTCACCTGGTGGACAAGGCTGAAGCTGAAATCACAATTAGAGTAGCTGCAGCCATTGCCTTTAAAAATTACATAAAGAGAAACTGGAAAGTTGTAAGTCAACTTTTTTTTTTTTGCTGCCATTACTAGTCAACATTTTTATTCTCAACAGTTATAGATATTGCCTTTTTTTTTCAATTTATAGCTTGTGAATATGATAGTACAGCTTACAACTTCATCCTTCAAATGATCAGACCTAAATTGGTTCTACACTGATACTTAGAAATATTTCATATAAAGTTGTTCAGTTTCTTCTCTTTTTTTTCAGAATTACTTCTTATGATATATATGTAAATTTATAAACAAGTTAAAGCACAATCAGTTTTAAGGAGTAAATGGTGTTCTGTGCTTGTACCAATTATTTCTGGTTTTTCAAAATATTAGTGCTTTTAGCCAGTTTGAGTCTAGATTGAACATAAACAGTGGAATTTGCTAACTGATTAACTATTCATGCTTTTTTAGTCAATTATTCTCATGTGAGATTAATCTTCGTATCTCTAGCTTTTAGTTTGTTAGAAAATCTTCAAAATATCCTTCATCTGTTAGTATAGACATCTTCATTACAGCAATCTATGGTAGTTACTTTTTAATCCTAGACTGTTGTATATGTGATGTAATATGAAACCTGTACCACGCTAAAAATATGATTAACCCTATGCATATGGTTGGGTCAAAGTGTGCATGTCACAACCTTTTTTTACAGAGTTATATTCAAAATTTAATTAAACTACTTTATTATCAATGTATGTCAATAAAATTGGCATCAAAACATAGCTTATAATCCAGATCTTGATATTATATATGTTTTAATTTCTTAATTTCAGAAGGAAATACTTAAATATGTTCTCAGTCGTCATTTCTCTGTATCATGTGACACTTCCTCACTCTGAATTGCCCATTTTAATTTTTCTTTTTATATTTAGTTGATGTAGTTAGAGCTGGGCAGTTAGTAGTATTTGCTGATCAAGTAATCACTAAGCCTATAACCGATTAGTACACACACTCTCTACAACCCTCTCGCCTGTACAAGCAAAAAAAAATGGGTGTGACTTGCTTTCATAACTTTTTCAACCACTACATTATTTTAACATAGTATTCATCTTCCTGTTTTCATTCAAATTGTTTTGTTTTATTAAAGAATTGTCAAATTAATCTTGATTTCATAACATAGATCTCTTCTAAAGATTGCCATTTGTGCATATTGTGAAAAACATTTTTTTTGTCTGAAAAAAGTATTTTGCCACCTTTTTTTAAGATAATCTGGACATTTTCTTTTTGTCAAAGGAATTGGTAAGGTTCACTAAGTACCACTACACAGTTGCCATTGTTTGTTTTTAAAATATGCAGTTATCCCACACTGATCTTCTTTAAAACAAAGAAACTGGTAATTAAATAAAGAAAACCTGTTTTACTGTCACCAGTATTAAAAGACATTAATATTCTAGTTTAAAATATACTATGACTGAAGTTAAAAATAATAAAGTAGCCAGTTAGTTTTTGTTTATGTATATTTGTTGAATAGGATAAACATAAAAATAATATTCTATAAAGATATGAGTCATCAGAATATTTTGTAGTCACTTGCCATACTCACTAAACAGTAATCGTATTGAATTTGATGATTTTATTTTACTTGAACATTAACTAAAAAGTAAAAACATCACAATTTTGAACAAAGCATCAACAACATAACCTTATTAAGCCTCAATTTCCAGTCATGTATAAAAATCAAGTTTAACATTTTTCTACAGTTCTTATAATTTGAGATCTTAGAACTTGTTATGATTTAAAATAATACTCTATTAGTCCTTCTTGATCAGTTATTATATGTTCTTATGACTGAGATTTTTGTATAATTAAGTTGTAAAATCATGTTTTATTTTTAAATGTAAATTATTTTACTTGTTATTGTTTATGCATGTTGTTTAAAGTGAATGGTTGATAAATGAAATTTTGATAAGCTATTATAGTTTTCTTGTTTGACAACAACACTTCAGTCAAAGTGAAAAATACCCAAAGTCTGGGTAAAGTCTGTTGTTTTGTCAAAGATTCTCTTCTATGATGAAGTGTATTCTGTGGATCAATTTAGACTTTCACTAATTTTATCATGTCCCTGAATTTGGATACGAAATGTGCATAATTATCAAACATGCACACATAAGAGGGCAAACAACTGCTAAAATGTTCAATATGATGACAATTTTTAGTTCATTATCAAAAATCAAATACTAGTAACATTATTTAGTGACTAAAATTTCTAACAGATGTTTAGAAAATAAAATGTCTTGCTGCTAACTTGTATGAAATAATTATTATTTTAGCATGAAGATTCCACTGACAAAATTCATCCCGAGGACCGAACAACAGTGAAAAACTTGATAGTTGCATTGATGCTACGAAGTCCAGAACAGATTCAGAGACAGGTATTCATGAAGCTTATTTGTTTACAACCAGTATCCATAAACATTCAGAGAAACACTGTATTGTGCATAAATGATACTATTTAAATTATATGCAGGTAATTTGTTAAGCATTTACAGTTTCTGCAGTTGAACATAACTGGTGATGATGAATAAAATAATGTTAGGATGTACCAATTCCATACTTTATCAAGTGTGAACATTTTTAAAACTGAAGCAGCATGGTGATTAGATTTGAATTTTTTGTTTGTTTAAAGCAAATCTGTGCCAGGTTTTAAGAATTCTTTGGTGCATAATATTTTAGTTACTTTTGAAACATATTTGTAAAGATTGAATCAAGTGTTAATGTGTATGATGATATATTAATTTTAAAGATACCTAAGATCAAAAATATGAAGTGCAATACAAGAACTTTATAATGCTATAAACTATATTACCAACCATTAAGTACAATGTGTAAAAACACAAAAACTAAACATCTTTGATTTCATACTATACTAGAGAATACATTTATACTGCATAATATAATACATTATCTCACTATACCAGAAATAAGTTGGTGTTAAAATAACAGCCACTTTACTTTTGATCATTCATGTTATTGAACTTGACTCTTAAGCTTAAAATTCCCTACTATGGTATCATCTTCTAGACTGTAAATTTTATAATTTCAGTTTCATTCTAACAGCATGAATGTCACTATAACCAGCTGATTTTGTAGTAAACTTTTTAACAATATGTGGTTAAATATATTGCTGATTACGTTCTTATGTAGCATATAATATTAGTAAATGCAACTAAAATATAATTAAGAAATCAAATTAACTGTTTAAATTCTGTAATGTTTTAATACATAATATTTTCTGTAGTAACCACAACCACTGAAGAGCAGATTCTTAGAATGTTTTAGGTACAGTTGTATGTTCTTAGCATTAATGATGCTAACTGTGTGATGCACATAGTGTTCTGTAAAAAACTGGAGAGTAATTTCCTCTGTACTATTTTGAGTACTATCTAATTATACTTCTAGAGACAACCTGCATAATTCATATTTTATTAACCTACCTGCTCTTAATGAGGAGCAAGTTGTAAGTTGCTAACTTCTCTTTGTAGACTTGAACTACTTGGTGTTTTTTGGAGTTACAACTGTCCACACGGGCTTGGTCTAATTGACAGAGTTCATAGCCGTTTTTTATTCATTACAGTTTCCATGCTATAACTTTTAATACAGTACATGTATCTTTGCAAAATTTGGCAGGCTTTCAATAGACATTACAATACTTTTGTATACAAAAAATTTGGTTTTTCAATTAAGTATTTTTAATAAAGATTTGTCTGTAAATAAAGAGTAGTTTTTGTTACTTATCCAAGTGCAAAGTCATTTTCAAGTTATGGTTAGAATACTTCTGTTCATCTGAAATTTTTCTAATTTCAATTGTGTAATCTCTTAACCCAATGACCAATGTTGGAATTGAAAACTTAAGCTCTTCAGTTTATTGAGACCCCAACTGTGAGAATGTCATAGTTTCCCTGTATTATTGAGACAAATGTATTTAGTCTATTTCACAACCAACATGTGGGTTTTATTGTTGTCACTTGTACACTGAGTTTTAAACCATTTGCAAAATATCAGAATAAACTATATATATCAGTTAGACTGTTTTAATTCTAAAACAACAACAACAGAAGTGTGGGTCTTATTACAAAGTAAAGATAATAAGAAGGAAAAAATATAAAATTCTTATGTGGTACTGGTACTAGTAGTAGTATGTACAAATCACACAAGTTTATCATTCTAAATACTGAATCATATTATTATTATGAACTAAATATAAAATTATGCTAAATTCTTAAACTTAAAACTACTAATTTAAATGCAAAAGAATATAAAAAAATCACAAACTCTCTCAGTTCAAAGTGCTAAGCTTAATTCACGTAAAGACCTTGCACTCGATAGCTCTTAACCCTAACATTTGTGGATGAACTTCCTTCCTAAAAAAATATATCTATTTTGATTTAATTTTTCAATATAATGATTAATATAAATAGATATACAATACAGCATGCCTTAAGCTACTATAGAAAAATAATAAAAGTCACACACATACCATGCAATTTTTTCCAGAAGCAAGTTTTCTAAGACATACAAAAAAGACCAATACTAAATACAACCTCTACATAAAATGGCAGTTACTATAATAAGCACAACCCACATTCAAATTGTAAAATCCAGAGAACAACGTTTCGTCATGTGCTTTGCTTATCATCCTATGATTTGTCAAACTTGAAATACAGCAATTGGAATAACGTGGTACTGAAATGGACACCTTCGACTAGGATAGGCTAAATATTTTACAACTGTCATCAAACAACTGGTAAGCTACAATAGGAAGAACTATTTTTTTACTTAGTTTGTGATTCAAATAAGGGAAATGATGACTCCAGTTTCCTTATTAATAAGGAAAAGACTGCAGTTTAATAGACTGAGGGTGAAGCTTAAATATACCAACTCACTTGCACAGTGTATTTTCTGATTAATTGTTAATCCTGTATCTGCAATTCTTCATGCTTGCCTTCTTATTAACATGTTTTTAAATTTTGTTTATTGCTTCTCTGTATAAATCTTCTTACTTTGAAGTCATTTTAGGAGTTTTTCTTTTGTTTTTAAGTGAGTTTTATATACTTTTTTGTGTTATTGATTTATTTAGAAAATGTGAATGTCTTCACAGATGAGTGATGCTGTTAGTATTATTGGAAGAGAAGATTTTCCAGAACGTTGGCCGAATCTTCTGCAAGAAATGATCAACCATTTTAAAAGTGGAGAGTTTCATATCATTAACGGAGTCCTGCAGACAGCTCACTCACTCTTCAAGAGGTAATGATTTATAATATTTATTTTGTAAGTAAATGTAAATATTTATTACACTTTATAATGTAATTAAGTTTTCCAACTTTCCATAAACAAATTTATTTTATTTTTAAGATACCGATATGAATTCAAATCCCAAGATTTATGGACAGAAATTAAGTACGTGTTGGACAACTTTGCCAAACCTCTCACTGAGCTTTTCGTTGTGAGTATAACATGCAAAATGAGTATTTATTTATTTTTTTAAGTATTAATTTATTCATAAAAATTTATAGTAAAGCTAATAACTTGCATGAATGTACAGATTTTGTATTTTATATAAAAAATCTTAATTTATAAGGAAAAAGTAGTAGGTCTGAAAATATATAAATTAATTCTTTATAAGTTTAAATTATATATTTGTGTTAAGGAAATTTAACTTGTTTTGTGTTTTTAAGCAAAAAGGGAAGTGATTCACAATAATTTCAATTTCATTTTACATTGAAGTTAATCAAGGAAAATAAAGTTAATAAGATAAAAATAATCAAAGCTTTGCCTTAAAATGAGTTTGATAAATCATACAAAAATATTATGCTAAAATCAGAATTTACTCAACTTATCAGTAGGTATTATTTTGACATTGAATTTATGTTTTTTGATTGGTATATTAATGATATCTAATGTCTTATATTCTGAATTAGAATTATTATAACATTTCCTGTAAGAACTAGGGTATACGATAGAGTTTAATACGTGTGTGTTCAAAAGAAGGCTGATTTATTGATTAACTTTCTTCAGTTTTTATCTGTGTGTTACTCGGAGTTACTAAGTGTTAACCTTTAGGATAGGAATAACTTGCAACATCAAATTCAAACTACACTGCTACTCTTAAATGTATTTCACTTATTCTTATGTAAAAGGAATTCTTTATCAATACATTTAATATATTCTGTTTAGCTTTTCAAGTAAATTTAATAAGTAAAATGTAAAATACAAGAATTGTGTATTGTTGTGTACAGTAAATCCTTTTTTTTTAATTATTGTACAAAAGTTTAATTTAAATGTTATAATTAACATAAATAGAAATTGAATTATAATTTTCTTTGTCAAACATACATCCATAAAGTAAAGAAAAGAAAAATGTGAAAGAAAGTACACTACCATGCACTTGGATGCTCAGCTCCCTTTTGTTGTAATACACTACCAGTTACTAGGAATTTTTCAAACCAAGCTTTTATGTTATTCTTGATTAATGGGGCTGTTTCATAAATGTGTCAGTAATTTCATTGCACTGACACAATTGATTTCGATCCAGCAAACCAAACCACACACACTGCACTTTTTCCTGGGGTGTTGCCATTTTTACAACAAAAGGGAGCTGAGCATCCAAGTGCATCTGATTCAGCAGTTGACCATCTGTAAGAGGCATTTCTGAGAAGCCCAAAGAAGCCCATTCATCATGCTTCCCTTGAACTTGTCAAAAAGCACAGTGAACAAAATTTTACACGTCTTCATGATATTGTTGATCTTTGCTACAGAATAATTAGTGTAATAAGGAATGTGATTCCTGAGACACTGAACGTGTAACACCTGAAGGGAGATAAAGTATCACCTAGACATTCTTCAAACAGCAAATGTGGAAGTATACTAAGACAAGAAAAAACTTTATGAGTTGTTCGTCAAGTTAGATATAACTGGGGTATTTTAATGTATAATATTTTTGAAGTTATTAATTTTTAAAATGGGTCACATAATTTATGAACAACCAGTAACAAAGAGAAGAATTAGACCTAACTGAAAAAATCTACCAAGCTCGCTAATGCTAGATTTTGGTCATGACAGACATTTGTCACGATCCTTCAACTGGTTAGCAAAGAAGTGGATTATCCAACTATACTTCAATTACACAGAACTTTAGTATAGTACTTGACAAATGAGTATGCCAGCACAATCTAAGCCAAATTCCTAAATATACATATAAACTATACTATGGATGTATGTTTGACAAAGAAAATTAGAGCTCATTTTTTATTTACTAATCATAACATTAGAACAACAAACATTAAAATTTCAATTTTGTATATTTTATTGTATTTAATTTACAATAAATGAATGGTTACTGTGCTAATGAGTATCTTTTCTAATACAAGGCAACTATGGAACTAGCGAACAAGTATTCAGACAACCCTGAAGCTTTGAAAGTGATCTTCAGCTCTCTTGTACTGATTGCCAAGATTTTTTACAGCCTCAATTATCAGGTATGTCAATTTATATGTGTGTGTGTAAGGGTGGGTCACTTTTGCACTTATTAGATTTTTACTTTAAAATATTGATAAATTCTTACTTATTTCATGGGTAAACATTTAATAAGAGAAATTAATTCACCATAAACTTCAATTAGTTGAACATATTTGTTATTAAGACATTCCATAAAAAGTATGTGTATAGTCATTCTAGTCGTTGTTCCTTCTGTAAGACATAATCATGCTGTCTGTGACTGTATATCAAACCATATTTTAACATTATCATATTAATTTAATGCAGGATTTATAGTTGTTTTTTTTGGGGGTCAGTACTTCTTTCTAGTTATTCCTAGGTAGCCCATCACATTCATAACATTTTAAGATTGGGCGTTATCCTGCATCAAGGCATAGTCTGGTCCAATTTCATTCTTGAACAATTATACAACTTGGTCTTCTGGCATATCAGTATATTGTCGGTATTAAACATATTAATGTCTGTACTTCCATTCATGTTGATGCCTTCTAACATTATAATCAACATGTGTAAAATACTTTTGATTTTTTTCATTAATTTGAAAGGCTTAACAATGTATTAACAATTTCAAGTTTTCTAAATATAGAATAATGAAATTTGAATAATCTAGAAAAATACCAAACTTATTTAATCCTTTTCAAAAACTGAAGTTTTGATAATAAAAGAGAATTTTAAATAATTAAACCAAATGCCATATTACTGCTTGTTTTTATACCGTATTCTTCCAGTATTTTTGTTTTAATAAATCACATTGATCATACTGTATTATATAACTGTTTGATCCATATTTTTATTTTACATAATTTAGCTTCTATGTCAAGTTGTTTAATTTAAATACAATTAAAACAATTTTGATATTTGTTACTTCATTTAACATTCTGTAAAGTGCTATTGTCCTTCACGCACTTTATCATCACATAATAATCTGTCTATTGATAAGTTATATTTTTACTTTCTATATTTAAGCTACAGATATTCATACGCTCTACACTTTTCTAATGTTTGTATTAAGACACTCATCACCTGTTAATGTAACAAAAGTTTCAGTAGGGAATGATTTAATTTATAATAAATGATTCCTATCAGCATTTTAAGATTGGAAGCTATTGTTTAAAACTAAACTTTTTAAATTGACTAAATGCTAGCTATAATTTCAAATGTTGACATATCTTGTTATAAGCAGACTTTTTTATAATTTTAATGTGTATTTCTCTTTATTTTATTGTTTTTTGTTGTTGCTGTTGTTGTGTATATTGATTTTCAGTAAGTAAACATTTCTTTAAGTTTTATAATTTATTAAAGAGGAGTTGTATAAGTCCTCACTCTGTTTTAAAAATAGATATGTTTGCTGATAACTGACAAAAAAAGTGATTTAAACAACCACTAAAGCTGTAATGGGGTTTTCTATGGACAGCCAGTTTCAGTTAATTACAAAAGTAATGTTTCATAAGACTGAATTGTTCTGAAAAGAAAAGATAAAACAATACCTAGGATCATGTGTATGTAAGAAATAAATACAGTGGTCAACATTTGCTAAGGATCATGTTTTTACATAATAGGTTCACTTATGTTAATAAAGGTCAGTTATAAAAATAGACATAGCTTGGAAGTCCATTATCTGAACATTTTCTGATCATACCCCCAAATTAAAAATTCATACAATGAAATTGTGAGGTTTTTAATATGAGATCACTCATCATTTCATGCCAAAATTGGTCTGATTGAGATTATGCAGTGCAGAAAATGCCTCGTTTAGGTCAAAGGCATCATCTTTCCCTTGCAGAACATAACAGGGCTCTTGTGATACTGCAGGGAGGCATGACTCAATGCAGGATTGCTGCTGCTCTTGGCACATCCCAAATTGTGGTGTCCAGGGCCTGGAACAGGTTCAGACGGTTTGGCAGAGTCAATAGGAGACATGGTGGAGGATGGAGAAGACTAACAACTCCACAACAAGACTGCTACTTGACCATCCACTTGCTGTTCATGTTCCTTTAAGCCGACTGCAGTGGGTCAGAGAACACAGGAGGTGGAGTGCGTAACAATGGAGAGCCGTACTTTTCACTGACAAGTCCCACTACTGTGTAGACTTTCTTGACAGATGCAGGAGAATTTGGAGATGCCCTGGTCAGTGCAATTTGCCTCAGAATGTCATTGAACATGAATGCTTTGGAGTAGGCTCAGTACTGATGTAGAGAGGCATCTCAATTGCAAGCCATACCAACCTTGTAATCATTCGAGATAGAAGTCTCACCAGCCTAATATACAGAGATGAGATATTTTCACCCATTGTTCATCCATATGTAGGTGCAACACGGCCAGAGTTCTTGCTTATGGATGACAATGCACGTCCACACTGTGCAAGGGTAGTGACTGCCTTCCTGGAAGCTGAAGGAATTCCAAGGATGGAGTAGCCACTAGATCTCCTGACTTCAACCCAACAGAGCACATCTGGGAGCAGCTACAGATAAGGCTACAAGCTCATCAAACCCCACCAAGAATGCTCTAGGACCTAGAAGCTGCCCTTACTGAAGAATGGCAACAGATTCTGCAACAAGGATTGGCTAATCTGATCATGAGCATGTGCAGAAGTGTTGCAGCAGTCATTAATGCTTGAGGTGGTCACACAGATTACAGAAATTATCTTGACTGTGGATTGGACACTTCTTTCAATGACTGTTGATTTTGAAATTTTCTTGTTAACACTGTATCACAGGATACATCTGTTCCTCAGGCTCTGTTATCCAAGTTACAGAATTTAGCAAGGTGTAAAAATGACTTATCCAGGTATTTTTCTTCCTAAAATGTTCAATCTATAAATACCATTGTGGTAGGTGTTTGACATATATTCAAAATAAAACATGATCCCTAGCAAATGTAGATAGGTCAATACATTAGTTTTTAGGAACAGATTCTAAGAACCTAAATTTCCAAATTAGAGAGTATAAACTTATTTGAAACTTGGTAGCCTGTTAAGATTTGAACATAAAATATCTAGAAAACTTTTGTAAAAAGTGTTCAACCAAGTTACTAATAGATCTAAATAATAATATATCATTCAAAAGTAAACACTTTGCAGTGATCAGTCTTTGAATTATTTATAGCAATAAAAATTGAAAAGAAATTTACTCACTATTATGTTACATACACATTCCAAGCTAACATGATACTATGTATGCATTTGTGATAAAAAAAAACTTTCATATTGAGGTGAACAAAATTTGTTTCTGTTTTTCTTTTATTTAATGTGAAATGGTTGATTTTTTTTACAGGATTTGCCAGAGTTTTTTGAAGATAATTTAGACACTTGGATGACACATTTCAAAACTCTATTAACTGTTGACAACAAACTTTTGAAGACAGACGTAAGTTTTCATGTTTGTAATGTGTATGTCCATGTTCCTGTTCAATTTTGCTGTCCTGCAGATTTAAAGATTTGTGTTTAGATATTTTTTATTGACTAACAGAAACAGTATTATGGCAATAAATGTTGCTGATATCACTTCATGATCTATTATATATATAACATTTTTATCTCAACTTATTGAGACAAAACAATTAGTAATCAAAACACTTTCACATTGAATTCTAAATTAGAGGTGCTTACATTGAATTTTATTAACTCTTTCAACCCGGGCTTGGTCCCTCAGACTGACTTTGTAAACATTTTGTGCTTGTTATAGTTTTCATGATATAACTTTTAAATTAGTAAGCGAATGTTAATGAAATTTGGCAGTTTATCAGTAAACATTACAATGCTTTCCTATGCAAAATATCTATTTTTTTTTTTATTAAGCCTTAAGGTTTCTAAAGCAATG